ATACTGGTTATTTTCTCCCTATATACATATATATTCAAGGTGCTTGTCGTTTTTTGTTGCTTAATTCAATACATACATGAATAAGTCATCAAATGTCTTTTATTTTTAATAAATAGGACTAGTCAAGCAAAAAAAGTAAATATTAAATACTGAAATTTGTATAGCGCACATTGAATAGGATTATTCATACTGTGCCAACCGATAAATAAATATTTCGATTGAAGTTTCGAGGTCGATGAATAACCATGACTTTAGAGCAAAATATACAAAAAGAAAAATTCCTAAAATAAATACTATGCATCGGTAGTGTAATTTAGTTATTATGAACAGGGAATATTATAACAAATCATTATATTCTGTTTCTATTCATGAAAAGACCACAATTATGTATTAGACATATTTTTAGAAATGTATTATTAATGTCTTGAGGACCATATTCTGAAATAGGCAAAACTATTTCGTATTTTGTTAAGCATTAGCATTAGTGATTCAGCCTACCACAGTGGAAAATATTCATGAGAAAATCAAGATTATTTTTGACTACAGGGTGTCCAAGTCTCATCTTCTGAACGGATCTCTGTTATGTCTTATTTCTTTTCTTTATTGCTCGTATTCTCATATTATACTCTGATATCACCGAGATAGCAACGTGATGGTATGACCACAGAACGGAACAAAAGAATAATCTCCCTTCGCATGGAATCGAACCATGCATCTCCTGCTTCCCGGGCAGTCGTATTAACCACTGTACTAGAAAGGAGTACTCATTATTCATTTCGTTCTGTCTTATGTTCGAAGGGGAACACTTCGAACATAACAATCTCCCACTTTTCGCAGAAAATTCTATCGAAATTGATTACAATTTATAAATCAATTGAAAAAATAATCTACTTCACCGATTATTCTTGATTATCTCTGCTGTAATCCGATTTTCATTGATAATTGATTTCAATCTGTTCAATTTCAATATAAAAAATCTGATTCAGAGGTTTTCATTTAATTATCAATGATTATTAGGGTAATACTTTGATTTTAATCTATTCAATCGATTACCAATGTGTTGGAGAATATTAGTAAGTTTTACACAGAACTAAATGATTTGGACTCATACGAAGCATTGTGGGGAGAATTTTAATTGCTATCAAGCTTACGGTAGATAAAAACATCATGTATGATTTATTACGATAGAAGTTCTAGAACCAACATCATATACATGATCATGACCAACATTAGTGCCTTTTCCAAAACATAATTTAGGTCAAATAATTCGGTAAAAATTCTTTCTTATAAATAGCGCGTTTATCCAAAACATAAATCATGTTTAATCGATTCCGAAAAGTAGTAATGAAGTGAAACTGATTATTTTCATAAGTAGGAGGCACACAAAGGGATGTCATAATACCCAGAACTCGGGTACCGAGATTCTAATATAACGATACATCCGTGAATAGTGAGGATTTTGAGTGAATTTAGTGTCACGGGAGAGATACCCAAAATGGATACCCTATCCTTAAGAAGTGAGGATCTCCTTGGGGTAGATTATACGCTGATCCCCCGCAAGTACCTGAAAAGATCCATTGAGACACAAGGTAGAGACGCGCTCATGGCAGCATTCAAAATTAGAGCCACGCTATCAGTCTGAGGTGCATGATTAGTAATGGAAATATGTTCAATCAACCGACTGATGTGATAACATGCTCACTATCGGAAAAACTACTCTAGACAATCTAAAAGTAAATATATCATTGACTTAAAAAAGACACAAAAATATGATTTCGATACGATCTCGGTGATAATCCTAAAATCCAGTAGTTTCGTTCATTGAGGAAACGATAGTGAGCAAAAGTGAGCAAAATATGATCATTTTTCGAAAGACTGCGGTGGACATGTCAGAATGTGGATCTCGTTTGCTGAAAAAGATAGAAAGGTATGATTTTCATGCCATTTCAAAGATAGTTTCAGGTTTAAAAACATGGTTTTTTTTTTGAAAAAAAGAAGTGAGCGAGAGTGAGCATAATATGCTCATTTTTCGAGAGACTGCTACAGAGAATGTCAGAGTGATGATCTCTTCGGAAGAAAAAGATAGAAGTATATGATTTCTATGCGATCTCAAAGAGAATTTCAGCATGTGAAACTTTGATTTTTTTTTGGAAAGCGGAAAGTGAGGAAAAGTGAGCATAATATGCTCATTTTTCGAGAGTGTAGTGGAGAATGTCAGAGTGAGAATCTTGGTTGCTGAAAAAAAATAGAACGATATGAGTTCTATGTGAAGGTAGACAATGTCACAAGTTAATGTTTCGTTTTTGCAGAAAAATAGAAAGATAGAATTCGTCTAGGGTCTGAACGATAATCCTTGATCGAAAAAGTTTCGTTTTTTTTTGACAATAGAAGTTAACGCTCGATACTCTCACTACTCACTTCAGATTTTTGATATCGTGGATTCTCCTGATGCACAAATAGTTTTGATTTGATATGGAGAATATTTGTTGCTAGAGTTTTAGTGAAGCTGGACATCTGCTTTGACATGGTCTGATTGAAAAATATGGAAACTGGACTCTCGATGCTGTGTTTAGCGCGCCTGAGTGTTTTTAGCTCGATGGGCTTTTCGACGTTCAGATATTTTTTGCGAGATGATGTTCACGGCATATTACTTTAGAGTTTTGGTCGAGCAAAATATTCAATTTTGAATGGCTCGATGGCATTATTTTGAAAGTGAACTTCTAGTATTCGGTTTCGCTCATTGTAGATTTTTGTCATCATGGATTTCGTCGATGTTCAGATAGTTTTTCGGATAGTATAGAGATCATATTCCTCTAGACTTTTCGTCAAGCCAGACATTTACTTCGACATAGTCTGAATGAAATATTTTGAAAGTGAGCAGTCGACGAGCAGTTTTGCTCACTCGAGATTTCGGACAGCAGCGGTTTTTTGACGTTTAGATATATATATATATATTTTTTTTTTTGAGATGAAATAGAGATCAAATTTTTTTAGAGTTATTATCTATAGATATGTTCAGTTTGACATAGTTTGATGGAAGTATTATGAAAGTGAAAATTCAATGCTCACTGTCGCTCACTTTCACGCAATTCTGCTTACTTAAGATTTTCAATTCTATGTAAATTTTCAACGCTGAGATCTTCGTTGAAATCATATAGAAATCATGTGATTTTAGGTTTCATCGAACGAAATATATATGTCGATGTACTGGGCTTGTGTTATCGGGAAACCGAGCATTTGATGCTCATTTTTGCTTTCTTTGATGGCCGAAGCAATCTGTTTTTCCGCCGTTCGGATCTCAGTTGAAATAGTACGGAAATTTTGTTTGTCATGCTTTTACTAAAGAAAACATTGACTTTCGCGTAGTTCTGGGTAATAGTCTCAAAAGTGGCATCTTATGCTTACAGTTGGTACCTTCCGCTTAGACATGCTCTTTTCATTGATTCTAATTGTCTACTGCTAAGGTTGATGTTCAGACGGATGACAGGTTGTATTTGATCAATTCTCTCCGAACAAAACATTCAAGTTCAGATGGATGCGGGTGTGTATTAAACCAACACCCACATCCATACCCATGCTCACACCCAAGATATGATTTCTACACGATCTTCAAGATTACCTAAGTGTCAAAAACTATGATTCTCGAAGAAATTTGCACTTGAGCAAAAGTGAGTATAAGATACTCACTTCTCGAAAGACTATTCTCGACAAACTCAAGGTAAGAGCGTGGTTTTGGAAAAAAATAAAAAACAATAATTTCTATATCATCTCAAAGGTCATCCAAATGTAAAATAACTTTTGTTCTCGAGGAAATTTTAAAGTGAACAAAAATAAGCATGAAATGCTCACTTTTCTAAAAAATATTCTTCACAATGTCAAATTGAGAGTGTGGTCTCGAGAAAAGCACTAAAACAATATGGTTTCTATACGATCTCAAAGATCACCTAAATATAGAAGACTTTGGTTCTCGGTGAACCTTAAAAGTGAGCAAAAGTCAGCATTAAATGCTCACTTTCCTAGAAACGTATCTAACCAAAGTCGAAGTGAATAACACTGTCGAGGAAAAAGATAGATAAAGATGATTTCTATACGATCTCGAAGATATTACGAAGTGGAAAAAGTTTCATTTTTTAGAAAATGAAAAGTTAGCAAAAACGACTATAAAATGCCCACTTCCTAAGAAAGCGCGCTAGAGGAAGGCAAACTTAATATCTCATTCGGAGAAAAAGATAGAGTAATACGATTTTTGTATGATCTAAAGCATCACGTTAAATTGAGAAACTCTCATGTTTTTTGGAAAAAGAAAAGTGAGTAGAAAATGCTGACTTTTCAAGAAACTGCTCTAGATAAGGTTTAAATGTATGTCTGGTTCGACGGAAACGATAGAAAAGTAAGAGTTCTATATGATCTCAAAGAGCACGTCAGGTTCATAAACTTTCGTGTTTTCTGAAAACATAAAATGAGCAAAAGCGTGAATAAAATGCTCACTTTCAGAGAAGGTACTGGCAAGAAAATTAAAATGAATATCTTGTTCGGCGAAAAAGATAGAAAAGCATGATTCTTTTTAACCAGCTTAGAGATGAGCTTAAGTTCGAAAAATGGGTTTTTGGAAAATGGAAAGCGGGCAAAAGGGACCCTAAGACGTTCGCTTTTTGAAAGGTTCGTCGAGACAATGTGTAAGTAAGTATTCTTGAACAGGG